CTATAAAAAGTATATGACGTGTTCTATTGTTAAACAGGCATTTTAATTTTCATTTATTATATCAAATCGTGACTGAGGCGTGCCATTAAACACTATTTTCATATGCTTCTATTGAGTTTAAAAGACAGGCTCTCCATCTTACAATTTAAAGTTTTCCTCTACTGATCATTAAAACAATGCTGTGGAAAAAACACTTCATTAACTTAATTTTCTTTTTGATCTTGTATAAACAGCATCTGCGATCGACTTTACCTTTAAGAGATCGATTTCTTTAACGCAGTCCTGACGAGCCTTTGCATCCATCATCTCAAAGATCTGCAGTGACAAAGATGGGAATGATTTAACTTTAAGAGACATTACAAGTAAAATATAAACTCAGAAGAAAGAAAGAAAACACTCTAGTAGGGATCATGCCATTATAATATTTCCTATTTGAGACAATACTAAAAAAAACAACTCAGTGCTGGAGGAAAACTCCATTATTTTTAAAAGCATAAAAATCATTTTAAGTGCTTACAATTGTAGACCCTGGTGAAAATTACATCTATTCATTTTCTCTGGACCTCCTTGGTCCAGTTTACAGTCCATCTCATGGCCAAATAGAGACACATAAAAGACAACCATGCTTGAGCACCTTCATACATAAAAGTAAATTTAGAACCACCAGGTAACCTAACAAGCATTTTATTGGCATGAGTGAAGAAATCAGTACCCAAAGAAGATAGATATATGCATTGGAAGAACGTGGACCTCCACACTCAAACACCACCATAGAGATTTAAACTGTCACCTCCTCCCTGCATCATTGTGCAATCAGTTGAAAAATAATAAAATATTCATTTGTTTGATGACAGCAGCTCTTCAGTGTTAAAGCCAGCTGCTTTAAAGCAGATGGCCGCTTGTCCTGAGCCTGGTTCTGCTGGAGGTTTCTTCTTTTAAAAGGGAGTTTTTCCTTTCCACTGTTGCCACTGTGCTTGCTCAGGATGGGAGACTGCATCAAAGCCAAGATTCATCTTGTCTGCTGGATTCCTTAGATAGAGAACTTTACTAATTGGCTTTTATGTGAATGTTTCTGTAAAGTCCCTGAGACAACTTTGTTGTGATTTGGCACTATAGAAATAAACTGAATTGAA